GTTCACAAAAAAACACACAATGAAACAACTCTTACAAGAATAAATAACATTTTGGAGGACATTACTCAACAAAGTATAATTATTGAAAAATTATCATACTAACTTAATTCCAGCTTTTTAAATGTAGTTTTAACYATTTCATGAACACCTGATATATGGCAGCAAAACAGGTGGCAGCATCAGCATGAATAATTTGGTTAACAAAATGAAAATTATCAGCAAYCAAAACTCTTTCAGGAAAAATAAAAACAATTTGGCAAGCTAAGTTCCAAAGATAAGATTCTTTGCAAGTTCTAACAGTTACAAGTGAAATCTGAAACTCAAAAGACCACAGATGCAGAAACTCTCCTTATTTTCCTCCAAKACTTAACTAATGCAGGGTTTGTACGACCTCTGTACTTGTCCAGTTGGGCAGCAGGAGGGATGAATAGGACAGATGTAGAAGCAAGGGAAGAGTCTCCTAAAGCCTGTGAGTGAAATAGTGCAACAGCAGGGAGGGGAGGTGAACTGAGCTGAGCATCAGAATCAGTGGAAGGGAAGCAGCTGGGCCAGGCTGGGAAATGAATGAAAGSGGAGGGCAGGAYAGCACCTCCCAGTGCCACATCCAGWGGCAATGAAAGAGAGGAGWARGAGCCTTAGGAGACACTTCCAGAAAAGAAACGCTCTCTCTGCATGCTTTGGGCCCTCATTCTATAGGTGTGGCCATTACGTAGATGCTAAAGGCGATAATTTTCAAGTTCCTGAGCTACAACACACGCAAGAAATCATAYGCAAGGTGCTACATCTACTTCTTCCCAAAGCGCCAAGGAATACATCACAAAACTTCTCTTATCTGATTAAATTATTTGTTGGATAGAGCTAATGACTGTGGTGGAATTCTATTCACCCAGATCCACACACTCCCCTCTTCTAAAAATCTGTAGTCAGGCAGTGGACTATTAGAAGCTKTCTACATAAATCTGTTAGGGAAATGAGCAATGACCAAACATAGATACATAAAACCAGACAGACAGGAGAGGTGTGGCACCAATTCTGCATAACATAAATACCTCATTGTGCATGAGAAGCTTTCAGAATTATAAAGAACTCAAAAAAAGTAACCCTCATGCAGTAATTAGRCTCATCTCCGCTTGTAATATTGCCAAGATGACATTCACCAGACATGTAAATAAATTAATGAAAAAAGGAAAAGCATAACATTTGGCTCAGTATAACATCACATTTATAGGAGTACACATTTCATAGGTGTGATTTTTTATTCTCTGTTAAATATTACCTCAACAGTGTATCAAATGGATAATAACGACTGYTCATTATATTATTAAGCAGCCCCACACAATGCTTAATTGTAACAGTTGCACATTATTAAATAAAAAAAGATTAGGACTCCGAAGAGAAGAGACAATTTTTCTTGATTCAAAAAGAAAAAAAACAATCCCCCCCAAAAAAACCCACCCATCAAAAAAAAACCCCACAAAACTCCCCTCCCAAACCCACCACTGTTAATTGCGGCTATTGTTTCAAATCCCTAGTATTGTCATATTGATGCTTTTCCCAGTGATCAAGGAGATCAAAGAAATCTGATGTCTCACAAGGGGTTTGAACTGCAGCAAAGAGAATTCCTCTTAATTCCCGGTCAGTTTTTGAACACTGTCCAAATCAGATGAACAACATGTTGGTGTTCTCAATGAGACTTGTGTGCAATGGGACTGATAGTCTCAGGAAATTCAGAATAAAGTAAAGACTTTTTTTTGCCTTGTATATGAGTTTGACTCATGCTCAACTCTGTAATGAATCTCCCAGTTGTTCTGCAGACTTTCATTGTTTATTTTGCAGTCTCAACTCTTTTCTTAGCAATATGGACCTATAGCTCCARCCCATTACTATCACCTTGTGAAATAGCAAGCGATATCAGTAGAGACCATGGAATAAGCACTGAAATTGAAATCTCTTGTCCTTCCTGAAATKAACTTTATATGTCAGATCCCAGTCAACACAGGGCTCTTGCGGTTTGTTTCCGCATTCTAGCCAGGTACAATTAAAAAAAAAAAAAAAAATAAGGTTTCAATTGATTGAATGCATGTCTATAAAATAAACTGTTATATTCAATTTATCTTAGGAAAACCATGTTACACTTTTTTGAACATACATATTCATTCACCAAGTTCTAAGAAATTTTTGGGTTGCCTATAATCTAACTACACTTATAAATTTGATAATCCTCATGTCAGAAAAATACTTGTTAAAATGTTAAATTAGTTACTTCAGCGTCTCATTTCTGAGGCTTTTTGTCTCATGATTTTGTCTACATGAGGCAGTTCTATTCAGAGATCATCCTAATGTCACCATGGCTGTTTCAGAAAAAGGCATCTATGATCCTCCAGTGCAGTGGGTAGATATTCCACTGCCTACTCTGCTCCAATCTGGAGCACTGCTCTGTGGTTATTCATTTCTGTGTATTGTGTGTCTGCCCCCATGAACTTCAGGACATGCAGAGAACTGTGGGATTTCAGACAAACCAGTATGCCCTGTCTCATAACTTATTTTTTTTTCTTAAGACGACTCCAAACTGACAGTACACCATCTGATGGCAGAGAACTAACATGGTATGCTTCTCTACCACTCTCATCTTGCTGTTAACATGTTGCAGAGCTGTTATAGCTCGCATACAATTCTTGGAAGMCACCTTTTTTGTCATCCAAATATTGAGGCTGTAGCAGATCATTCCAGATTCCCAACAGATTTAATCCTCCCACTCAATGCTCACAGTACAGGCCCCAAATGGTTGCTTCACACGCATATTTGCTCCGTGAATGCTCATGAAAGTGGTCAACTTCCTCTTCTTYCCTCAGATCTTCACAAGAATGCTGAAAAAGTGGTATTTTCCCTAACRGAAACAGCTGATCATCTTATTTTTCTGCAGATAAAAGTGGCAGCAAGATGGAAAAGGAACATGTAAGGACTAAAACATACAGACCTATGGGTCTAAAATCTTATGGAGATTGTAAAAAACTCCAGAAAACACTCCAAAAATCCCCCTTATTTAAAATATGAGAGTATTGAATAGAGCCGCTTGCTAGCAAGTCTTGGGTTTGAATGGATAGTGACAAAACAAACATAGGAAGACTCTGACAAAATAGCTAATGTCAGGACTGTTGCATTTACAGCATTTCTGCTAACATGCTTTTCTATTGACAGACAGGGATTAATAACCTTTCCATAACATAAAATTAAAAATACCCCATGCAGATTGATAGTTTCATACAGATGCCATAGTGGCATGTAAGTCATATGGCTTCATGCTGGAGTCTAGGACCAGGTGAGATAAATACCCATCAGGAAGGGCAGGAATATTCACAATTTTCTTTCACAGCAAACCATTTCAGTTTCTTTTTTTTTCTGATGATTTTGTCTAAACCAGCTATTGGGCRTATCTATTGAACAATTGCCTTTCCTATGCCTCAATTCCAAGTTGTGTGAGACAGGTTCAATTCTCTGCATTGTAGAAAAATATTCTATTTAGGACCAAGAAAAATGTTACACCAAATTAAAAACTAGTTCTAAATATAAAATATATAGTACTTAATATAAACCATTTGTTTACAGACTGTTGCAACACCAGTAGCAAGAGAAGTCTCASAATGGCTGATTTTTTCAGCTATCACACAGAGATAAGCAAGAGCATTCACACTTCGAGAGACACACCACAAATGTTCAATGGCAAGTGGTAAAGATTCTGCAGCAGACCCCACTCATGCCAAGTGCATASAGGATGTATCTCATTATTTTTATCAAAATTTGCTTTTAAATTGCCTTAGAGACTGGCATGTGTCCTACAGCTGCYAAAGATAAAAACTAGATTAAAAATSCTTCACTTTCATTAGTYCTGTGTCCAGTGAGTTACCCTACTTGTGCCAAAAAAATCTTAAAGGGGATGAAGGACCCATCAGAGAGGATATCCCATATTTTGTGCCCTGTCCTTGATCTGAGCTTTCAAAATTTGTACATTTTGCATGGTACCTGGCTAATGATTTCAGTTTCTGAACATAAAAGTTTAGTAACTGCATTTTGTTAGACCTATAGTAATGCATTTCACTTGACTATACTCTCATTTATACACTGATATATTCTATACCTAGCTACATATATACAGAAATGTATGTACCCTTCCCAAATATGTAGCTAACCTATTTTGATTGAAATTAGACAGACATACAGGAAGAATATTCTCAGTTCAAACAGAATTTTGAATTTTAAAAATCATCATGCGGTGTTAATTTGAAAATATTTATTTCCATCTTGATTCTGGAAACAGGAGTGAATCCATTAGTACGTGGACTAGAAAGTGAATAAACAGTTTCATTAAGGAGACATGTTAGCTCCAACAATGTTTATTGGGGCAAGCCTGTACTCCGGCTGCATATGGTATACCTTTAAATAGGGCCGTTAAAATACCAAATAAAATGTCAAAGTCTGTCAGGTCTGGAGCTTTTATAAATTGTTTAGACTGGGGATAATTTGGGTTTTGTACTTCATGCTTGGCAGAGCGATAGGAGCGGGCAGGGGCCCGGGAGAAGCGGGGGCACAGGACAGGCAGCCTGGCAGCCGGGCACCGCCGGGCATCGCCCGCCTCGCCCCTTCCCCGCCGGCTGCCTCCCCTCTCCCTGGGTGGTATCCTGAGGTTACGCACGTGACTAAACAACCACATTGAAAAAAGAAAAAAAATTAAAAAAAAATATTAAAGCTTGACTTCAAAGGCAGCGCCGCAGCCGCTGGCCAGCGATGTGCACTGATTTCACCTCGGGCTGCAGCACCTCCGCGTTGGAAGCAGCCACCGCTGCCGCGGCTCACGGACTGCCACACCTTGGCGSCCGCCCTGCCGGCTCTCGCCCCGCCGCCCCGGCCGGAGCCGGCGCTGGAACTGGAACAACGCCGCCCTTGAGCCCCCCGCGCTCCCGGCCCGCCCGGCGCTCCCACCCACGGCGCGGCCCGGACCTCACCTTCAGCTCCCGGGAGGCCACTCGGGCCGCCAGCTCGATGACACAGCCCACCGCCATGCGTGCCGCCCCGGCCGAGTGCAGCTCGTTCCAAACGGTGTCACTGTCCACCTGAGCAAACAGCCGGCCCCGGGAGGAAGGCAGCGGAGAGGAGAGAGGGAGAGGGAGAGCATGAGAGAAAACAAACCCGTGAGGGAGGGCTGGCAGCGTGACAGCCCGTGTACAATAACATCAGTCTTCCGTGCCGGCCAGCTGAAAGGCCTTCTGGACATGGCTTTGCTTATGCTTTTTCTCCGCACGGGCTTCTCCAATGGAAACACATTCCTGTCATGCCTCGCTGCCATTCCCTGTTTAGATTTCTCATTACAAACAGTGTAATCGGCCGGGCTGGGCCTGTTCGCCAGACGCTCCTCACGCCGGCTGGCGAGGGGACGGGGACCTGGCAGCGCCGGGACCATTGGGAATAACCATCGGGAATGACCATTGAGAATGGCCATCGGGAATGGCCACCGGGAACGGCCATCGGGAATGGCCACCGGGAACGGCCACCGGGAATGGCTATCGAGAATGGTCATCTGGAATGGCTATCGGGAAAGGCCACCGGGAATGGCCACTGGGAATGGCCATCGGGAACGGCCACCGCTGCCCAGCAGCGCCGCGGGCAGCCCGGTGCCACCACAGCTCATCAGTGGCACAGCCCAGTGTCCCTTCTTTAAGAACAAAAAAGAGCGGTAAACACTCGTTTTTTCCTTCCCAGGCAGGAGTTGTTTATAAGTGACTGAAATTGAACAGATTAATTGTTTTTTGAGTAATTTCGGCAGCCACTCTTGCCATAGACTGAAAACAGAATTAAATAAAGCGAGACCCTTGCTGTATCTCCAGTTTTTATGAACTAGTAAGTTTTGTCTGGAAGGCTTTATTTTGTAACAGATGAATGAAGGTTTTTAAAGCAGGGAAAGTTATCTTCTGCACCTTGTAAATGAGCAAGTGTGACATGTGAAACATTACTTTATAAAGAATATTCTATAAAGGTGGCTGTGCAGCCCTGCTCTACAGCTTCCATCGGGGTGCTAAAATTTTACTTGTGAAATCTATTTTTAATAACTATTTATTTGAAGAAACATATCAAAACATGTAGGTAAAATGTCATATATCCCTATATATAGTATGTAAAGCAGACATGATGGTGTTAAATAGTCTGAAAAAGTTATCCAAAGAGACAGCCAGACTTCCTCGATGTTCCATGGGAAGTGCATTTAATGGTATCATACCGTACAAATTTATCATGAAAAGAAAAACGTTTAGAAATAGACAAAATACTGTGGATGCTTTTTGGACGACTTCCAAGCACATTGAGACATGTTTTCAGTTTGAACCAGAAGCTTCTGTTCTTAATTCCTTAAAAAAAAAANAAAGAAATCAAGTAATTGAAAATGGATGCAACTGCTACTCGACTCTGGAAGTTCTGAGGAATTTCTCTGATTAGTCATTTGAAACAGAAAGAAGCTTGATCTAAGCTTGATCTTCTCTACACCTGTCAAATGTCTTCGCCATTACTGTTACTATAATATTATATTTCAAGCTACTAAAATGATCTTATTTTTCAGTGTCCTGGACCTGATTTTCCTATCATTTAGATCAGTTTTGTGTGCATGCAGCAGAACTAATGAAAATAGTTTGTATTTGCAGTAGACCTGAATAAGAAAGCTGGATTTTGCTTGCAAAGTTTGGAATAACAGTAATGACAGCATACTGTGTTTTCATCTGAGMAACTCAAAAGTTGTACAAACACAATTAAGCGTCATCAGCTTGATATAGCATGATTTATTATATTTGTTTTGTAGATTGGTAGCTTGAGATTTAAAGAAATTAAATAGGTTTCCCAAAGATGGACGCTGATCAATAAGTAACAAGAAATAAGAAAGAAAGCAAGTAGTAAAAAAATGGCCTATGTAACATTAGGCAGACCTTCAAATTGTCTCTCTCTTGCCTTAAAGGAATTGTGAATCAAATTTCATTTTTGAAGCTAATCAGGAGATAAATAAGTAGAGGTCATTGGTTAAATCAATTTAATCAAACCATAATAAAGTTTGAAAAATACTGTGCAGTATTTTAAATAAAGAAGTATCAGCAAAAGGGCTGRGAGGGAGTACTTTCTTACCATTTTTATGGCTAGCAAATTATGGTTAACGTGAAGGAGTGGCTGATGAAAATGATTCAATGGCAGCTGCTCCATACGCCAGGGCATGAGCAGGAGGAACCTGCATCCTCAAAGGGACTATGATTCATTTCCAGGAAGGCTGATTAAGTTAAAATTGTAACCACAGCTTGAGAGTACCCACCCTTAAGACAGTTGTCTGCTCTGACACATGAGACTGCAGTGCTGAGCATCAGCCAGGGTACAGCATTTATCATTTTCTGCTTTCAGCTGAGTGTAAGGAGACTGAACTGGGATATTAAGACCAAATATCTTCCACTGAAAAATTTCCCTCAGACCACTTGAATGACTGCTACCTTAATTTACCTGGACTAGTAGAAAAAATGGGCMATCAGGAAACAGAGTGGTGTTTCCTGAGAAATTTTCAAAAATGACCACCTAAATGAACACAGGAAATTCAGGATATTTCAGCTAATCTCTTGGGCATGGTACATATAAYGAATGGTAAAGTCTTAAAACTAGGGGTAGCCAACTGAAGCTTCATACTTTAATGCATAGTTATAATAATGCAAGAAAAAGTAACATAAATAAATGAATAATTAAAAAGGCACAGTATTAGAAACTTAGGTGTCAAATACTATTTCATATTTTTGCAAAATTAAGACTGAATTTCTGAGGAACATCTCRTGAAGAACAATCTAGAAGAACTTGCATCCCACAGCCAGTCCTTTAGTTGTAACAACTAGAAAATACTGTCCTGCTCTATTTTATATCTCTGTTAATTCTGTGTATTCCCTTAAATGTTTCAGGTGTTTAAACATTGATTTTTTTTTTTAGTGTTACTCAATGTTTACTTTGTAAATTGCTGTTGAAATACACTGGTATAAATGGCAAATCCATTAAAATTACAGCTACTAGTTGGCCCAGTTGTCAGGCTGTATAAGAAATTGAACTCTAAAATCCTATTGATATGCTTTTCGATATCCCTGTGACATAAAATGGTTGGATTTTATACAAGGGGAATAGGATTAGACACTGTGGTTTCTGGTTGTAGTGTATGTATATATCACATATATCTGACAGCCTATCTATATGCTGATTATGCAAGAATTTGTGACAAATGTGATGCTTTGTGAATCACAGATTATGACAAAGTCAGATGGAATTTTGTAAGAGGTTATTTTTGTTCTTTAAGTGCTTTGGAGCAGCCAAAGAAATCAGTGAAAAACCTATCTTGATTAGGATTGTTTTTCAGATGATGCTAAACAAAATTTACAGAAAATACAGCATTCATAGCTGAATTCTAACAAAATCTTAGCCTTTTTTYTGTTTATATATATTATTTCTATTTAGGAGTCCTTTAAAAATTTTCAGGAATAAAGAATGTTCTGAGTTGAACCAAATTAAAAAAAAAAAAAAAACAAACATTTTTTTAAAGCATCAAAATGTCAGCGTTGAACTATGAACATACTACACATCTCGTTATCAAAAAATCCTATCACTGCTGCAGCTCTTCAAAGAAGAATTGYACACAATAGCACCAAGAGCCAGAGAACACGAGCCCTATCTGAACACTGACTTTCTAACACACATATGGATTTACTTCACTCCCAGTTTCCTGAATGAGCACTGTAGGTTGCAGGCTTTTTCAAGCACATCTCGTATAGCTCAATCATTGGCATGTGTAGCAAAGCTAATACTCTGCAAAGCTACAGATGATAGAAATTAAGCTACCTGTCCCTGAAGTGGATGTGGAGGCATTAAAGAGGAAGAGAATGACTTAAGTGAAAAGAAATGTAGGTAACTTCTTCTGGCTGAATACAACTAATATTTCAAGCCCCGTGTCCAGAAATTCTCTGCTTTACACTACGAAAAAACTTGATATGAATGTTTCCTGMAAGAAATATCTGTGTGATAATGCCRSTTTCRCAATGAAGATTTTAARCATGCTCAAAACWRTRTARGAAAGAMGAAGCAGYCRAGACAYTTCACCAGATAAAARGCTTGTAGTGTAACCCCTTGTGGACTGGAAAATTTCATTTTAAGGAAAACTGTTGAAAGTTACCGGCTCCTTATACCGTGCTCGGGTTGTGCCATATGTAWAAGTGGTAAGGAAGGATATGGCAATACACCAGAGGGAGAGATTGYTTACTTAAAGATCTTTCTGGAATCACTGCAGTTGACAAAACTGGAAATGTTCCTTATCCTGCTATTTAAATTTATCTGGAACCTACCTCAGAGGGGCAAAAAAGACTGTGGATAATAATGCTAAAGCATTTATAAGATAATAGCTGCTTTTTGGTTTACCTGTCCCTTTCCCTGCTACAAAACCTCTTCACTCTTCTTCCCCTATTTTGGTCCTCTTTTCTCCAGAAACCCCCTGGGATCTGCCTAGTGGTCATTGTATCACAGCTCTGCTGACCAAGACATGCTGCTCACAGTCTGACAAACCTTTCAATTTTTCACACCCTGCATGATGTATTCAGCTGTGTGAGTTATTTCTCTTTCTTAAATTGTTGTGAAGTCTGAAGTTACCTTGAATACATATTCACTGATAATTATATGACAATATAAAAGAGCATCCAAACTCCTGCTTTGGGATTAATTCAAAGCATCGTAGAATCTCCCCATCCCTCTCCCATTCACACACAACTTGTGATTTAGTGTAAATCCRTCTTCTGCAGTGGAATTCTGATTTTACTGCTAAGAGGAATTAAATACACACTGAATTGCTCATGCCCTGTATKCTCTACAGAATTGTTGTCATCATTGAAATCAAAAGCAGTTCTCTTAGACATCCCCACAAGAGATGCTCTACTTATTTTCTGACAACAGGTCAAAAATGCAATCTATCATCTATTTGTTTATGGAAACTTTGACCTGTGATGCTCCTTTGATAGCAGTTCTTGTATTCTGTATGTCCAATATCCTTGACAACAAGCAGTTCTTTTCTGTAGTTTAGAAGGATTGTTT